ATTTCCCCTATAATCAGGGATGTCCATATATTTTAGGGCACATTTTGTATTAGTTAAGTTATTAACTGTAAGTGTTTTCTATATAAGAGGTTATTGAAGTCAACATCCAGCAGGAAAATTCTGTTTCATGCTAAATGCAATCATCAGGCGATGTGTATTTCTGCTCGACTATTTATATGTACAGGTCAGTAATGCATTGTGGATATTCTATTGTATTGTGGGTTATTGATGTAATGGAATAAACTGTCACCTCCATGAGTGACTACACCATAGGTAGTAACTACCTATAAGTATCCATAAGGCAATGGACTACAGGGAGTCAAGCTGAGATCTGTTGAGTATGACTCAGACTTAAGTTACTATATGTCTGGACACCAACATTGAACTACCAACCTTCCAATAGTAGCACTCACTACTGGATTGACTTGTGATGACCTTGTGCATAACTGTTACCTTTATTTTTATTGTACTGGTTTTTTTACAATAAACCTTTACTTATTTTATCCACTGTGTTTGAAAAGTATATATTCCTATTAGCATGGAATATAACGTTATTTTGGTAGGATGTAATAGTTATTTGTAAGAGGGCATTCACTCATGTTTTTTAAAAATCACCATCACAACGATTCCTGTTACAAATAAGTTTGTCTTTGTAATTCACCGCCTGAGGATGATCTTGGAGTAGATAGAAAGCACTTGGGTAGGAAAAAACTATGGTGCCTTCCTTGATGAATTTCATCTTAATATCGAGAAACTGATTAGAAAACTGGAAAGGATCAGTATCAAAATAAATAGACACAACACGTCTATATTATTCAATGACGTGTGTGTGTGTGTGTGTGTGTGTGTGTAATATCTACCACCTCATTGTTAAGTATGACTATCACAAGACTTGATTATCATTTATAAAGCAATGACTATGTATGAAATGTTTAAAGTGAAAAAAGACATTGCACAGGGTCAATCCCACTCTTAGAAAGAACAGTGTGTACCAAAGAAAGAGAATCAGTTAACATCACTGGATACTAGCAAGTGGCAGACAGTACATCAGAGTTTTCCTTCTCCAAGTTAGACACATTAACAAAGGCTAAAAGGCCCAACACTCTTATTTGGCTTACTATATGTCTGGACACCAACATTGACATTTCTACATCCCAGCATCAGTGCTAGGTGATCATTGATCCTATGAAAAGATTCTTCCTAGTAAATATAGTGTTAAGTCAGCATTAGAAGTAATCCAAATCCTAAAAAGTGAAAAACCTGACAATGAAATCATGGCTTCACTTGATGTTGAAAACTTATTTACCAATGTCCCTGTTAGTGAAACTATTGACATAATTATAAGAAATATATACAGTAACTCATCTTTACCCCCACTTAAAATTAATCCTAATATATTAAGAAAACTACTAACTTGTACTACTGAAGTCCCTTTCTTCGATCATAATAACAATATATATATATACAACGTGATGGTGTCTCCATGGGTTCAGTATTGGGCCCGACATTTAGCAATTTCTATATGTCGAACCTCGAAAATAAGTTATTTACAGATTTTAAAAAACCATCAATCTACCTAAGATACATTGATGATATTCTTATGTTAGTTAAAAATACAGATGAAATAATTCAACTTCAAAAACGGTTCCAAAATAATTCTGTCCCTAAATTCACATATGAACTCAATACTAATAATAAAATCCCCTTCCTTGACATATTGATAAACACAAATAATAACAAATTTACTATTTCGCCATACAAAAAACCTACAAGCATAAATTCATGTACACTTAACTACAAGAGCGAATGCCCATATTACTACAAAATAGCAATTATAAAGAATCTAATACATCGTGCAGAAACTAATTCATCCACAAAACAGATTTTTACAGTGAACTAAAGAATATAAAACAGACACTTATTAATAATAGCTTTCCAAACTATATAGTTGATGAACAAATAAGATGCTTTCTTAGAAATCTCAATAATAAGGAAATTGTACATAATACTGCTTCTACTGATCTCAAATATATTAATCTCCTATATCGTAATCAAATGCATACTAATTATAAACAAGATGAAAACATACTAAAAAATTTAGTAAATTCTAATATATCAACTACAGATCCTAGCAAAAAAATTAAATTAATCATATACTACACTAAATCTAGTATATCCAACTTAATACTTCGCAATGATTCTTCTCCCCCGGTTAGCAATTTGAAAAAAAACCAACATAATTTATAAATTCAAGTGCCCTTTGGGAGAGAGTATCTCCAACGAATTAAATAATATTTATGTTGGTCACACCACAAACTCGCTTTCACGACGCTTGACACTACATTTTAATGAAAACTAACATTTTTAGGCATTTAAAACAACATGCCTGCCCGCACACACAATTCCGTAAAATACTTGTCGAAAACACAACTATACTTCGACATGAAAACAATAGACAAAAACTAAAAATACTTGAAGCATTATACATCAAACAGTTAAAACCCAACCTAAACAAAATCAATTATGGCATCTCTACAAATATTCTTAATTGTCTATAATTGGTAACAGAAGCCATTGGTTTATACCAATGGCTTTCCTTACTTCATTCTACAATTCACTCTTGTGTAGTCATGTGTGACGTCATGAGATGCGGTGCGATTTTCGCTTCTAGCGTCTTATATGCGCGTGTTTATCGTTGCTTAGTGATCAACTATGTAAACAATGACAGACTATCATCACAATGCTTTTTCTAATTATTCTTGATTACACATCATTTCTCTTATAAATGTCCCTGTTTTAGTTTGCCTCTCCCCCCCCAATCCTCATGTTCTTCCTCTCTCGCGTCTTCTCCTTCCTTCCTCTCTCTCGCGTCTTCTCTTTTCATGTATACATAAGATTAGTAAATGCTAATGAGACAAAAAATTTTCATATATGCATCGGCAGTGTGAACTGGCTAGATTTTAAATTTGGATCATAATCTTTTATTGTGACTAATGTCATCATAAATGTATCCACACGTTTCTGGTGTTTGTTTTTTTCATTTTAGGTCAGCGATCTGGTTATGATTTATGCATTTGAGAATAATTCATATTTATCTGTATCTCACTCATTTAAACTGTTATTTAACTTCTCTCTTTAAAACTTCTCTCTGTTAAATTTTAATCCCCACCTTCACCTTTAGGCCTTCCTGTTCTTCTTTCACACCTCTCTCTCTCTCTCTCTAGAGCTTCCATACATTTCCCTCTCACCCTTGATTCTCACTCCCACATATACACACTCTCTCTTTTTTTTTTTTTAATACCTGGAGTTATATTTTCCGATTTCTTTTTGAATTTGTAGGTCTGATGAATTGGAACACGATTCCAATTCCAATGTAATAAATTATAATTATAGGATATTAGTGTTTGAGCCTGCTATATTATATTCTTGCTCTGCCCTGGACATTGAACTCTACCTGGATTCTATCCTCTTGGAAATATATATATATATATATATATATATATATATCAAAAATAGTTGCTCGCTCTTATTCAAGGATACCTGTCTACTAGGGCAGCTAGCCAATCCCCATTGCAGACACTCGCTCAGGCATATTTATGTTGGCTCAAAACCCACAGAACCCACCTGTGTTTTATACTGCAACTATACTGAGCAGACCTTAGTTACAGTTTCTGGGAGTGAGCGTGTTATCTAGCATGATCAAGAATTTGAACAAGGCCATCACGCTCAAGCGCTCGGCCACAATGACTTATGGCTTCATGCTAGCATGACTATCAATGGCCCACAAGAGTTCCATCTACCCAATTTCACTTACAGGCTTGGGTCAACCTGTGGTATGGTTTTCAGGCACTTTCTAAAGGTGCTTCATGCTGTGATCAACCTCGATCCAGTTCAATAAATTGACCATGGTGAGATTAGAACCCAGGTCTCATTGTCCCGTCCTGGGTATGACGATAAACTACATCCGCGTCCTTGGCAAGACAAAAACTACGTCCAACAGCAAGGCCTTTGATCAGGAGGTTTTGAGGAGCGTGGAACCAGCTCTTAATTGTTGGTGTTCCCAGGTCTACTCTGACCTGGGGTGGTGGCACCTGTTAGGGTTCCAGCTATAGGTAAATAGTTAACCCCCAAAACTGAGGTAAAAAGCATTATTAAAGTGTCAAAAAATAGGTTTTAATACCAGACATACTTTGTAAATATTATTACCACCGATATATTTTTGAAAAAAAAAAAAAAAAAAAAAACTATTAGCAACTATAGAGTTTTGAGGAAAACTATTACCAGCTATACATTTTTGAGGAAAACTATTACCAGCTATACATTTTTGAGGAAAAATATTACCAGCTATACATTTTTGAGAAAAAATATTACCAGCTATACATTTTTGAGGAAAAATATTACCAGCTATACATTTTTGAGGAAAAATATTACCAGCTATACATTTTTGAGGAAAAATATTACCAGCTATACATTTTTGAGGAAAACTATTACCAGCTATACATTTTTGAGGAAAAATATTACCAGCTATACATTTTTGAGGAAAACTATTACCAGCTATACATTTTTGAGGAAAAATATTACCAGCTATACATTTTTGAGGAAAAATATTACCAGGAAAAAAAAGTTGTCTGCATTATATAACACATTGAGGTTGATATGCTGTAAAACAAAACAAACTCATGTTGTTAACTTACAACCTAAGCAATTTACAACAGTTTAACTTTATGATCATGAATTGGTATGTCTGGTCATTTGGTCACATAAGTGTTTGCAGTTTGGTGTCTGCCAACTTCTGCCCCAGCTCCCACCAATGCCAGCATTCACTTGCATGCCTCCTGCTCAGTGATAGGGCATCCTCCATACAACACACTTTCCCCAGAGTCAATTCGTGTCTTTTAAAGTGTTTTTTTAAAAAAACAAACTTCAAGAAAAATTCAAAAAAAAAAAAAAAAAAAAAAATTCAGACAAGCTCACTATGTTTGTAAAAAAGAAAAAAAATA